AAACGACGAAGACGAAGAAATTGCGAGAACGGATGAGAAGACGAGTAGAGTAAATAAGAATGAGAGTCAGTAGGTTTGTAATGGACACTAGTGCTAAGACGGTCGTCATTAACACTAAGCAAGATGTCAAGGAAAGTGACTGATGTTTCACTAACCTCCCACGTAAAGTCTAAGGCAGGGTGAAAAGAGTTAACAAAAGAGATGAAAGAATCTAAGTCATTACGCGAACAAGAAGTAGCACCAATACAATCATCAATATACCGTCCAAAAAACTCAGGTTTAGGTCCAATATATTGTTGAAATACAAGGTTTTCGATATAACCAACAAACAAATTGGCATAACTAGGGCCCATCTTAGTACCCATAGCAACACCGTTTACCTGCCGATAATAGGGACCTTAAGCTGAAGGCGGCAACGTGGGCAACAACGTCGGCGAAATTCAGGCGCTTCAACCTTCTATTGTATTATTATTTCGTGTTTACCTAGTATTTTACTCAATGAGCATCCCCGTTTTAGAGTGAAATGACGTCTTTTGGGAGCGCTTTACTTATAACGAAAATCAGCAAAGATAAGCTCTTGGCGTAGCCGTTCTCTTTAGTACGTAAAAATAGGACATTTCACGTCCGTACTTTCAGCATAAGACGGCAATGATGCACAGTATTTTGTACATTCCAACGAGTATCTATTGAATAGCGCAATTAGTGCTATTGTATGGTTGCCGTCGTCGTCGTCGTTGGCGTCCTGCAGCTTCGTCCCTAATACCGATCACCAAAAGAAAAACAATTAAGAGTAAGAACAAGTTCAGCTAAGCGTAACAAAGTGGGAGTGCTGGGCTCGAGGACAGGACGAAGATCGAAAAAATGCTGAAGTGCACGAAGGCCCTCATTATTAGGAATAACAGTATACAAAGATTTGACATCCATAGTAAACAAAAGCTTAGAAGAGTTATCAGGAAAGCGAAAATCATTAAAAATACTAAGAGCGCGATTAGTATCCTTAATATAAGTAGGTAACGACTGAAAAATAGGCAGCATGAGAGAATCTAGATAGCTAGAGATGAGTTCGGTAGGACAACTACAAGCAGAAACAATAGGACGACCAGGGTTGTTAGCTTTATTATGAATCTTTGGAAGAAAATAGACGGGAGAAGTACGAGGAGTAATAGAAAAGAGGTTTTTAGCAGTGGAAGGTAAAGGCTAATTTTTGATTGTCAGGGGTAAGATCCTTATCCATTTCACAATAAAAATTAGTGTCAGAGAGTTGACGTAAAGCCTCCTGTTTGTACAGGTCAGAACGCCAGACAACAACTGCACCGCCTTTGTCAGCGGGCTTGATAACAATGTCAGTATCTGATGGTGCTCTAGGCAGATCAACTGGATTACGGAGTTTAACTTTAACTCACTGCAGTTGACTTTTGCAAATGATTTGCTCTTAAGCGAGGCTGAACCTGTTCAGCTGAGTCTTTAGTCATAAAACACAGCGGTATTTACCTAATAAGAAAAGGGACTATCATATCGTCTGAGGGCATTAATATAATTCCAATTGAAACGAAGGTTTCAAAGTGACAACGAAATATGTGAATGGATAGAAATTTTATATACAGGGACTTTTGACATATCAATCCACATCGTTCGGATACCTACTCGTTTATTAAAGGTAAGATATTTGAATTACAACTAGCTAAACAGTTAAAAGCTTTTAAACCAAAGGATTTAAAATTTCGTTTCATCAAGCATCAATATTTCTTTGAACTTTTTAGATGTTGAAATGATAATTGATTAAGGAACTTTGAATAATCTCTGTACCGCTGCACTGCACACATTTTTATCCTAGGACTTGTAAAATTAGAGATCTTTTGAAAAGATGACGTTGCAACCATACAATAGCACTAATTGCGCTATTCAATAGATACTCGTTGGAATGTACGAAATACTGTGCATCATTGCCGTCTTATGCTGAAAGTAAGAAGTGAAATGTCCTATCTTTACGTACTAAAGAGAACGGCTACGCCAAAAGCTTATCTTTKCTGATTTTCGTTATAAGTAAAGCGCTCCCAAAAGACGTCATTTCACTCTTAAACGGGTATGCTTTATTGAGTATGATCCTAGGTAAACACGAAATAATAATATAATAGAAGGTTGAAGCGCCTCAATTTCGCCGACGTTGTCGACCACGTTGCCGTYCTGCAGCTTAAGGTCCCTAATATTTTGAATAGAGTGATTTTCATATGATCGTGAAAGAATAGGCAAACTAATAGTTAGTAGTAGACTCTAAACCAATGATTTTCTTTTGTTCTTTATCAACTATTACAAACTAAATGGTCTATTTTCTTTCACGGTCATGTGAAAATCATTCTACTACACGCCGTATGTGAAGACAATGCAGGTTTACAATACAATACAATACAATTTTATTTG